TTCTCCCTCTCTATCCAGGATCTCCTACATAGATCCCCCTCCAAGTGGTTGACATTAGTATCTGGGCACCATCTAGTTCTTCTGGTCTCATCGTATAGTCTGTGGATCACATGGTGTACTGTTGGGGATCAAGAAAAAGACCCCCAAAAGAACATGATTGCAAGGCACATGTTCTTATTACAGTGAAGAGATGACAAGGCTTCTCTTGTGATTGTTTGCTTTTAGAGATGGCAAGGCCTGTCTGTGGTTGAATGTTGCTTTAAGAGATGGCAAGCTCTCTCTCACTGTTAAATACTTAATTGGCAAACATCAAAGTATTAAAATTAGATGTTATTCTCCATGTTTTTTATCTTATTGGGATGTTTCATACTTTGGGTCATTGTGTCCTAGTAAACATTATTGTTTTACACTCCTTATTCCTGAGATTTCTGTGATTGTTTTAATGACCACCTGTTGTCCTTGAGCACATAGAGGAGTAAAACTTTAGCTTTGTAGAGAATAAGCTGACTATATGGATTCCAAGACTAATGATGTAATGATGTACAAACATATAAATAAAGTAGAACAAAGGCATCAGGGGTCACTCTCGCGGAACATGCAGGGTGTCCGCCTGGCCCCCGTTCCTTTAAAACAATAAAGAAAACCATTAATCCTTTTGTGTCGCTTCATTTCATGACCTGTGCTGTTTTGCCAGATGCAGCAGTGTACCAGTCGCTAGGACTAACTGTTTCCATGAATCTTTGGTTTTCTTCATTCTTCTTTGCTCTGGACAAAGATAAACCCATTGTTGCATCTAGATGGTTGCTTGCAAGCTTTTAAGATCCCAGTTGCTACTCGTCCGAAATAGGAGGTGGAACAATGTTTTGTGTAGTTTGTTATGCCAATTGAGCTTGATGTCCTCTCAGGGTGACTTTTGAACACATGAATTTGATCATTACCACCTTTCATGGCTTCACATGGCTCATAGCCCTGGTATCACTTGGCCAGGAGCAGCAGGTGGGGTAGACTGTGTGTGCAGGCGATTGTTAAAAGTACAGACTCCAGGGTACCCTCCAGACTCAGCAATAGATTCTGAAATGATTGTCTCAGAGCAGTGAGTTCCATGCAGTCAGGAAGCAGATCTGGGAGGGGTCCCAAATTGTGGATTCTGTAGATTCAAGATGGATGGAAGCCAGTAGACCCTCCCAGTAGGTCTTGTGTTGACCTTGGCTTCTAGTGTGTTTTTTCTCACTTCTGGAATCCCATTTTCTGTTTCTGAAGATACAATCAGTGTACAAGAATTTGCACCTTTAAAAAATGATGCCAACAAAAACCAATGTGTACACTGAAGGTGAATTCTGTGGATTCTCCACAGGAAAATACATTAAAATGGTTTGTAAATGAGGCTCAGTAGTATATTCTGTATGTCCAAAAACATAAGGAATGGGGTATCAATTATAATAGCAGTTATAGAAGCATTGACAACAGATTAAAATAGAAAATAAACCCATTGCTGTGCAGTCAATTATGACTGATGGTGACCTCAAGTATTACACAGTAATACTACTCCATTGTTTCCTCGGCCATGATCTTTATGGAAGCAGATCACTAGGCCACTTCTCCACAGTACTGCTGGGTGGGTTTGTACAGCCAACTTTAGGTTAGTACTTCAGTGCAAACTATTTGCACCACCAAGGAACCATTTGTAGAAGGGAAGACTTAAACAGGCTCCTTCCAAAAGACAAGAATGCTGTGCTTGGAGGCCAGAGTATTCCAGCTTTTAAAAAGGTGGAGATAAAACAAATCCTCGCCTCCAGATTGGGATTAAACATCCCGTACTGGGCAATCCACTTCCATAGTGATATCGGCTGGGAAACCCAAGAAGGGGTCACTATGAGTTGGATCCGACTCTACGGCAGTGAGTTTGGTTTTTGGTAGTGTTAAAACATAAAAGTGCTTTGGTGGTATAGTGCCTAAGGCATTTGACTGCTAACCAGAAGGCTGGCAGTTCAAACCCACCAGCCACTCCTCAGAAGGATGGGGAATCTACTTCCATAGAGATATTGCCTCAGAAACCCAAGGAGAGGTCATTAAGAGTGGAACTGACTCCATGGCAGTGAGTTTTAGTTTTCTTTTTTTTTTTTTTTTAAATTAAAACATAAAGGAGCTCTGGTGGTGCAGTGCCCAAGGCATTTGACTGCCAAACAGAAGGTGGGAGGTTCAACCGTATCAGCTGCTCTGCAGAAGGAAGATGCTGCAATCTAGTTTGGTAAAGATTTACTGCCTTGGATACTCAATGGGGGTCTCTATGAGTCAGAATCGACTAGCCTGCAGTGGGTATTAAAACATAGCTACAATTGTGAGGATGGTGCAAGACTGCCATCTTACAGGACAGTGTTTCATTCTGCTGTGCACAGAGTTGCTACGAATTGAAACGGAGTTGCCGGCACCTAACAATATTAAAACAGAACATATAAATAAACTCAGATGCCTACAGTGGCTCCCCGGTGCCATAATAAAAGAAGGTGCCCAGAACACAAGACAGAGACCCTGTAGTCACTGCTTGGTCACAGCCAGCTACCTAGAGGGACTGAGTAGTTGAACCTGTGGGCTCGGGACCATAATTGCAGGGGACATCAAGCTCAATTGGCATAACATACTACACAAAACATTGTTCCACCTCCTACTTTGGCAAGTAGTGACTGGGATCTTAAAAGCTTGCTGGCTGCCATCTAGATGCAACGATGGGTCTCTCCTCATCCAGAGCAAAGAATGAAGAAAACCAAAAATTCATGGATACAATCAGTCCTAGTGACTGGTACACCATCCACTCTGCAGCCTATACGACTATGAGACCAAAAGAACTAGATGGTGCCCGGCTACCAATGTTAACCACTTGGAAGGGGATCTATGTAGGAGATCCTGAATAGAGAGGGAGAATAATGGGGACAAAACTCAAAATCATTTGGAGAAAAGGGGTGGTGGTGGTGCAGGTTTGCTGGTCTGATAGAGCCTGGTGGAACCACTGAGACTATCTATGGTCCCTAGCTGCCTGTCAGGTCTGGAATTGATCCCACACCTGTGGCTTCCAGCCAAGCAAGACAGGTATAGGAGTTGAACATTTACCTGAGGTAGAAACACTCCTTGGAGAGAACAATCATGGGAGAAAGAAGGGCTGCTTATGCACCAGGAGACAGCTCAGGGGGCAGGGGTGCATGGAGGGATGGGCACAGGGAAGAGGTAATTACCCAGAGGAAGTGGGAGGGATGCTCTTGCATTGTGGTAAATTGTGGTCAATGTCATGAGACAAAGTGTATGTGAACTGCTGTATGGAAAGTGAATTTGCTCTGTAAATTTTCACCGAAATCACAACAAAACAAAACAGGACAACCAACCAACCAAAAAAAGACAGAGACCCTGGGGGTAGAATTCAAGGAAGCCATTTAACACGGTTGTGCGGTGGGAAATTTATAATTTAGCATCTGGATCATTGGCAGGGTACATGTGAGCCTGCAGAACTCAGACAACTGCCTCAGTAGGAGGATCAACCTCCTACTTCCTCCAAAAGAAACACACTCACGTGTGGACCCCTGGTTTAAAAAGTTCTCAGCCTCGGATTTTACGCCAGCGTTTGTATCCCATTTTTACCAAGGTAAATCATGTGTGTCTCTAAGCATTGCCGCTCTCAGTCTGAACACCCTAAGTGGGGATGATTTGGCCCTTCCTGTCTGTGGCTGTGGAACAACCTTTCTGCAGGGGCTGTGACAGCTCTCCTCCCACGAGTACGACCTGGAAAGATAACAGGGCATTGGAGGAGGTGTCTGCTTTCGCGGGCGTGACGCTCCTCCTACAGGCAGACCCAGGAAAAGGTCGAAGTCTGTCTTTGGAAATACAGGACTCGGTTCTCAAGCACTAGCGTCTGTGCGAGGTTAAAGAAACAATCAAGGAGCTCCTGCTGCGCCAGAACCCAGAGCTACAGCCCCGCCGCCATGAGTAACACTCTGCGGCCGGGCGCGAGCAGATGGCGGAAGGCGGCCACCGTGGTGCTGGCTGCGGGCTGGGGACTTCCAGGCCCCGTTGCCGTGTCGTCGCCAACGCCGCCCGCCGAGGGCTTCCGGCTGCTGCTTACGAGGCGCTCGCAGGGCCAGGGCTTTCTGCCCGGCGCGTATGTCTTCCCGGGCGGAGTGCTGCATGCAGCCGACAGCTCCGCCGACTGGCAGCGTCTCTTTGCGCCGCACCACCTGCCGCCGCGCTTCGGCCTGAGCCCAACATCGCCCCGACGTGCCGCCTTCCCAGTGCTTCCAGAATATGGACCGAACGCCGGCGACCGTGACCCCGGAGCGCTGCCGGATGACGTTGCCTTACGTATCTGTGCTATCCGCGAAACCTTCGAGGAGGCGGGTGTGCTGCTGCTGCGGCCCCGCGGTGCCGCGCCAGACTCTGCGTCTGGGTCTAGGCTCGAGCTAGAGCCAGTTTGCGCCTTCCCACAAACGCTCGACTTGGCCGCTTGGCGCTCTCGCGTACACAGCGACCCGCGCCACTTCCTCACTCTGTGCATGCACCTGGACTGCACGCCTGACATCTGGAAGTTGCACGACTGGAGCACCTGGCTGACGCCATTCATGCGTCCTGGCACCCGTCGCTTCGACACGGCCTTCTTTCTGTGCTGCATACGCGAGCCGCCTTCCACATGCCCGGACATGGCCGAAGTGGTGGGCTGCAAGGTAAAGCGTACTTACAACTGGAATTTGAGAATAAGAACCCGGCCAGGGGCCGAGGTCCACTCAGAATCTCTGGACAGGCTGATCCCAGAAAGGTTTTAACTTCCAACCAGGGTCGTATAATCAGTAAATGACCGAGTACGGTTGGGACGCTGGCAGAGTACACAAAAGCCTTGACCTCGGTGAAACGCTCTGTTTTCCCCATCTTTCCTGGCGGTTCCCCTAGCGGGAACGGCCAAAATCACGCCCTCCTCGCTGTGTAGATCGCTGGTCTAGGCGCTGTCCTAAGCACTTTACATGTATTAACTTATTTAATCCCCCAGCATCTTCATGAGGTACTGGTGGTGGTTGTGTGCCATCAAGTTGACTGCGATTCCTAGTGACCCTGCAGGAATCAGTTGGACAGCCACAGTAAATGATTTATCAGTTTCATTGATCTTTTCAAACAGCCAGCTTTACATTTCACGGATTTTCGCCACTGTTCATTTTCCATTTTGTTTCTTATTTTTATCTTTATGTTCTTTTTTTCAGTTTACTGTGGGTTTTAATTGGTCTTTATTTTCTGGTTTCTCAAAATAAACGTGAGGAGCCATGGTGGCGCTGTGGTTAAAGCGCTTGGCCGCTAACTGGAAGGTCAGCAGTTCAAACCCACCATCCGCTCCGAGGGAGACAGCTGTGGCAGTCTGCTTCCATAAATATTTACACCCTTGGAAACCTTATGGGGGAAGCCCTGTGAGCTGGAATTGAGTTGATGGCAATAGGTTTGGTTTGGTTTTTTGGGGTACCATGTTGTTGTTGTTATGTGCTGTCGAGTCGGCCCCGACTCATAGCGACCCCTCCTTGGGTTTCCCAGGCAGTATC